AAGGAAAGACAGGAAATCGAACGCGGAAATGGAGAGAAGCTCCCGAGATTTTCAGAATAAAGAACGTACTGCCTTCCGGTTGCTTTACTTTAAAAAAAGTTACTAACTGTGCGGCCCCGTGAGAAGTTATCACCTAGCTAGCGGTCTCCTTTGTTTTTCAGGTCCGTATTGGCGATTATAAAATGGACAGAACATAAAACACAAACCATGTTGTAGTTTTCTCCCGCTTGTTGTTGTGTTTACTGACGAAGTCACTCGTGTGACTTCGTGCTCTGTCGGTGACAGCTGCTCCCTGCTGCTTCACATCTCGTGGGAAGGGCCAAGCAGCAGCTTACGCGAGCAAGACGTGCTGTTGCAGTAACCTGCTGCTGACGGCTCTGGTGGAAAGAAGGGGTGAGAGCGAAGTGCTCGGTTAGGAACGTATGGAACAATCAGGTCACTGATGTATGATGGAGCTTGATTATCAAGATCTTTACATGTGAGGAGGAGGATCTTAAAATCTATTCTGAATTTAACAGGCAGCCAATGTAGGGAAGTTAATAATTCATCCATCCATCATTGTCTGAACCCGCTTTGTCCATGTAGGATCGTAGGGGGGGCTGGTGCCTATCTCCAGCGGTCAACGGGCAATCAGGCGGGGTACACCCTGGACAGAGAGCCAGTCCATCGCAGGGCAACACAGAGACACACAGGACAAACAATCACACACACACACACACACACACACAACTACGGACAATTTAGGCAGACCAATTAACCTAACAGTCATGTTTTTGGACTGTGGGAGGAAACCGGAGTACCCGGAGAGAACCCACGCATGCACAGGGAGAACATGCAAACTCCATGCAGAAAGATCCCAGGCTGGGAAGCAAACCCAGGACCTTCTTGCTGCAAGGCAACAGCTCTAACCACTGCCCCACTGCGCAGCCGCTGCTAATAATTCCACAAACATAATTCCACTATCTATGTGGAGTTGCTACTCTATCTTCTAACACCCAGAAGATTCTGCAGCGCTAGTTGACAGTCCATGAGGACAAGATTGTCAAACTTATACTGCTGGATTCCACACTGAATGAAAAGTGAACTTTTACAACTCATAAGTGAAATAATCATAAATACCATATTTATGGTATTTACGGACAACACGGACAGCGACACTGACATCGCCACAGAAAAGGTATGTGACGAAGCTCTTCTGAGGCTGTTCAACTCCGACACTGAAGAAGAAGATGACTTCAGTGGTTTCAGAGCGCAGGAGGACGATGAATAAACTAATCAATAATGTTTCTGTTTTGTTTGATACCGATCAGTTCAGTTACGTTCAGTTAAACTACGTTTTCAATTCAGTAGACATCTGCGGCTTTTAGCCCGGTGCGGCTTACATTGAGGTGCGCTCTATAGTCCAGAAATGACGGTAATCATATGGTTGAATGAACCAGATGTTAAATTAAATGTGTGAATAATCTGTGCCTAAATCAATGAGGTTGAAATGAATATTGTTCTGACAATGATGCATTTACATGTTATGATCAGTACTGTTTGATTTAACAAGTGAATCATTATCTACACTCATACACAATGTTCATTAGATATAAACTACGGTCAAGGTCACACCTCACATAAGTTTAAAGATTATTTATCCACAGTTAGAACATCTTGTATCTGATGAAGTTTTGGGTTTCTGAGGGATGTTTGGTAACGTCAACAAACATCAAATTCTGATTCGCAGAAATGATCAACTCTAGATTATTAAAACTAGAGTGACTGCCGAGTTACTCAGTTGAGTTGAGTAAGTTGTTTCCAGCTGACACTCCAGAGTGGCCAATCCAAAACCAGCCTCTTTTGAAACTTCTCTTTGACATACAGTCAAAACCTGTTTGCACGCTGCAGCTGACACAACTACAACTCCTTAAGAGTCCATTCTTAGACGCAACAAGTCCACCTGTCTGTTGTGATCTGCGAGACGACTCTGGACTGACCGGGTCACATTGCGGTTAATCTACGAACTCCAATGCCTTGGGATCACCCGACCCCCCGACATCTCGGATCCAAAAATTGGGTCTCCTAAGGGTACGTAGACACAACAAGATTGCGTCTGATGTTGTTCTATAAATAATCAACTCTAGTTTATAGCAGACCAAATTCTTTTACTCCCAGAACTCACAGTTTCTTCCAGATACAAAGGTTCTGATATACATCTACCTTACACCATCATCACACATCACATACCGTTATTTATAACTTGTCATGTATTATAATTAGTCTAGAAAGTTTATTTTTAATTATATTCTTGACTCTGCCTGAATTATTACAAAGTGTGTTTATGGTCCCTGAATAAGCAAATAATCCTTAATTCTTCTGGTTCAACATTCAAAGATCAATCAGCTTGATATTCTATATTTATATAGAAGCATCACATCTTATTGGTCATAATTAAACCCTCCAATTCACTACAGTATTTACTTATGACAGCAAATAATACAAACTTGACTTAATAGCCCGAGTTCCTTATAAAAACACACTTAGCAGTTTATGCCTGTTTTTAGCACCCCCTTGTGTCCATTTAGTAGAACCAACAGCAAAGCTCTCCTCGCTGTGCGTTTATTTTTTTAACACCTTCATCTAACTGCTGAAAGGTCTCCCCAGCCTTCATTAGTGTCTACAGGAGTGGTTCTTCACTAAATTAAACAAATCAGTTGTGTTCGTGATCTAAAACATGCAGGGAATGTGCTGGAACCAGCTGCAGCGCCAGGCATGTCAGCTCCATTTTTACTAAGTCCAACAGGTGGCACCCCACCACTCTGAAGCTGCCAGTGCAATATTCTGGTGGTGGGGGGTTTCATTAACCCGGTAACCCAGTAAAGGATAATTTTTTACACATACTGGCTCGAGAAAATGATTGAAAAATATGAATTCTTTGCTAAGTATGACTTAAATCTGTTTTATTACATTACTGTATGATCATTTGCAAATAACATGTTCTTGCTTTTGACCACACCGACTCCTGTCGCTTAACATCATCATACTGCATGTTTCGTAACTGAGGATCTACATTGTCTCCTAGCATTAGAAGGATTGATTTTAAGGAGATAGTGTGAATGTTGTTGTAAATGTTAAGTGTTGTTATGTGTTGTCTATACTGTCACTCTGTTGTCTACATTGTTGAACCCCCTCGAAAACAAGATGACGCATCCTTCAAATAAATGTCCCGTTTTAAAAGCTCCACCATGATGTTGTGTTCTCCAGTGAAGGCTCCTTTATCTTGTTTGGTGTCTGTTTTATAGCTTTTGGTTGCCCTGGATGTTAACAGCTATACCTGATGACTAGCTCAGTGATGGATAGGACCAGCTCCAGCTGCGGCTAAATCACCTGACACCTGCAAGCCCGCTCTAATGAGAAATGCTATAAAACTGCTCCTCTTATCTTTATTTGTGTGAGACACCATTGAGTACAGGAAGCAGCTGAGGTCAGATGCTGCCATTTAATAACCTGTTTAATCCCCCTACACATGTATATCCGTGCTTGGGCACCTCGCTGTCCCCAGCAGACAGAATCTATAGCAGAGCCACTGATACGATAAAACTAGAGCAGTTACATGGAGAAAGACTTTGGTCTTTGGCTAAATGTAGCTTTAGGTTTGACTAAAGTCCAGAAATCAACTAAACATGAGTCCATCCAGGATATTTAATCCCTTCAGAGAGTTATTGGTCTGCCCCAGGATCTCCTCCCAGAGGACATGCAAACCCTCCAAAGTAAGGGGATCAAACTAATTTAGATGAAGTGGAGCTCTACTCTGGACTTCCTCAGGATGACAAAGCGCTTCTTTTCATCCTGAGCTCAGCCTCTCCACTGAAGAAGCTCATGACGGTGTACATTTCCGGACATTCCCAGGTCTCAGGGAAGCATCGTCAGACATCAGACCTCTGACTAAACAGCGTCAGGATGAATGATCTCTCCCCTGAGGGAGCGCTCCACATTGTTCTGTGTGTGTGTGTGTGTGTGTGTGTGTGTGTGTGGGGGGGGGGGGGGGGGGGGGGGTTCATTACTACCGAAAACTTTGAGGGGATCAATTTAGATCTGCAACCCTTCACTCCTAAACGCATCATGGGTCATTGGACGTATTATGGTGGCGATTGTTCGGACGTTTGTGATTGAATAACCTTATTTATCTGGAATAAACATGAGTACAGTTAGGAACAACAAAAACTAAATCTGTTTTGATGTTTCCAAAGCTCTTACGCCGGTTCCTTCACCGGGATGAGGTTCTCTGATCTGGTGCTTGAAGGTTTTGCTCCAGTAGCTCACTTCTCATCAGAATGTCCTCCGACACCTGACACAGATCCTGTTAATCCGGGTGACGTCTGAGCCGACGTGGATTTAAGCTGCACATTTCCTGATCCTTACATACAGACCGCGTTGGAGGTTGCTCTGGTTGGGATTTGAACCACAGGATTTTTGCTCGAAAGGTGACTCCAGGTGTTTTGGGACAGGGGTATAATTCAGCACACTATCAGGGCTGAATATCCACCCTTTCTTTGAAAGAAAATAGAAAAAGAATATGCACACCTGCAGATATGCAGAAATTCACTTCAAAAAGCTAAAATAAATAAATAAATACATGTTTCGTGTTTTTTCTGGCTTCCCTGACTTAGAGACTTCAGCTTTTGGCATCATTTTGAAATGTGACAGCACGGTTCAGATGGGAGAATTCTCTGCACGAGCTTTTATCAGCTTCTGGGACTGGGTCGTGGCGCGGTGACAGAATAAAAACCGGCTGCACCGAGTGAGGACTAGCTAAACTCTTGTTCAGTACAAATGTTTGCATCGGCTCGTTGCAGCTCCACACTGCCTTCGTCTCTGTCAAACCTTCTTTTGCACAGGAAATATAACTCCCTATAGACAACCCCACTTCTCTTCTGTTCCGGTCTCTGTGTCTGTCATCTCTGACGTTGGGATTGTTGCTTTCTTTTCTTTCTTTGTTTGTTTGTTTGTTTGTGCAGCCTTCGTCTTGAGCTGTGTCTTCCCCCGGCAGCTTGTCCACGGTGACGTCTCAGTGAGCAGTCTCCACTCTGGAGGGGAGGCTTTCTTCTCCTGTCGGAATGGATACAGGCTGCAAGGCCCAAGTGTATTAACATGTCGCAATGCTAGCACCCCCTACTGGAGTGGCAGGGAACCGCACTGTCTAGGTGAGCTCACGTAGACCTTGTTCATGAGCCTGATACACTTCTGCACGCTTTTGTTACAATACTTATTTCACCACACAGTTAGGAGACCAGAGCAGTTCAGAACATCCACGGCTGCTCCCAGACTACCAGTAGCTCAGCTCTCCAGTTGGATATGATTTTATTCCTCCAAACAAGTTTGAACATCTGACACATCCTTGTATGTTTTTGACCATTTTTTTCTGGTTTGCAGCGTTTGTCACATGACAAACAAGGTTTCTGTCATTAGGGGACGCCGGTCTGCACCAGAGTTTAGTTAGGCATTAACACAGGACTGAAGATTTTCCAGCTCTTCCCATGGTGCATCTGAAATGTTCCATGAAGGACTCCTAAAGACCACATTATGTAAATGAAAACGGGATTCATCGAGCCAGGCCACCTTGGCCTTGTTCCAATGCCCACAGGTCTATTGTGGTGGAACTGGGCTGACACAAGCACCATGACTAATCAGCAGCTTTACTTTGTCTCTTAGTAATTTAATTTACAATCGCTTTGATTTATTCTGGCATTTGATGCAGCCTTGGTCTTCACATGAACCCCGCCTGCTGGTGACCCTGTCACCATACAGAAATCCTTCAGACTGCTGCTGTTCAGCCATTTGGGCTCGTAGTGCTTCTAACTCATCCTCTCAAAGGACACAACGTTCACCTGTTGTTTTATAAATCCCATCTGCCCGTGGAAACAAATACTCCATACCGTTCGCTGCTCGTAATCTTATGGCTGTGTACTTAGGTTTTATTGGTGAGGAGAGATGAACGGCGTATTCTTCTCCTCCTCCCTCAGCTACTTGTGGGGGTTTCATCGTGAACGTCAGAGCTGGCCGGATCGTCTCTCCAGGTTTTCCAAACAACTACAGCAACAACCTGACCTGCCACTGGGTGTTGGAGGCCCCCCAGGGTCACAAGCTGCACGTCCACTTTGAGAAGGTGGCTCTAGCGGAGGACGATGACCGGTGAGCTTTGGGAGTGAACGTGTTTGGTACTGATGATGCTGATGTCACCAGACAGCTTCCAGCATTCTTCATTAGTGGGATGGGGTGCAGCGTGTTTGTGTTTTTAGATCAGGATTTGGGAAAGTGGACAAATAGCATCAAAATGATGAAGAGCAAAACACAAAAACACAAACTGTGACACCATCAGCAATGGAAGTAACTAAATGGTTGTAAAAGCAAACACACTGTAGGGCAGCCTCTTCTTTTAGGTCTGGATCATAGGACTGCATCAGCCTCTGGGGATTTAACACAGTATACATTATAGGGGCTCAGAGCCTTTGGTCTGCTTGTGAGGATGTCAGAACTACCCAGTTTGGAGCGATTATATGTGTTGGATTGTTCTGGTGCGATTTCAAGGACAAACCTGTAGAATGTGACGTGTAGCCAATCAGAAAGCAAGGTGAGGGAAGCTCGCTCCTCCTCTAAGTTTGTTTAATTGGAAGTCACAGTTGATTTCCAGATGTTTTTTGAGACTTCCCGTCTGACCGGAGGACGCTTGTGGAATCGGTTCACGTGTAGTTTTTGCTGAGTTGCCGCACACCGTAGGACCAAAACTGATATATCAGTTTTGGTCCTACGGTGAAAAAAGAGATTTTTTGGGAATGCTACATATCACCAAATAAAAGCATTTAAAATGTAACTAAACGTATTAGTTAAAGACTAAATTGTTTAATTCCAACCGGAAAACCAATTTTATTACCCTAACTTTTCATGCACCTTTCATGGCAACACTTATTGTTTCTCAAAGCAGACATAAATATTCTGTCCCAAGGTCCTGCACTCTCTGCGTAAAAGCCTGGCTGCTGCATTCCTCACTATCTACTCAAGCCTACAGGACTTTTACAACTCCTAAGCTTAAATTGTCACGATGAGAGCAGGAGGTGTGGACCTAAAATGCAGAAATCCAGGACACAAAGGCAGGAGCGGTTGAAAAAAAGTAAAATCCTCTATTTAGGAAGGCAACCAAAAATCCAAAGGGGTGGAGGCAAAAACCTAATAACCAGAGGTGGGAAGAGTACTAAAATGTTGTACTTAAGTACAAGTATAATTACTTTCATGAAATTTTACTCGATTACAAGTAAAATTACCTGCCTCAAAATGTACTCAAGTAAAAGTAAAAAGTAGCTTATTTCAAATGTAGTCAGAGTAAAAGTCACTTAGTTACTTTTTTGACTGTGCAAGGACGGGCTCTTCTGAATAGTTAAAAACAGACAATTGTTTTATTATTAAATGAACAAATATGCATATTGAAGTACAAAGGCAGTTACACTGCAAACTAGTAACATAAATTAGGTTATAGTCACAAGCCCATGACTTTCCCTGAATGACACCATCCTGAATGGCTCTGAAGAGTGGCTGACACGTCTTGGAGACAGTCTCCAGTCTGCTGAGCTTTTCTTTTAGCTGGAAGATCACTTGAGGGGCGGGACTAGGAAGCTCAAAAATGACCAATCAGAAAAAAGAAGGAAATCCCGACTGTACCACACGACGCGCCTGACAATGGTGCAAACATCTTTTATTTTTTAGAAGAAATGCTTTTAGCGCTTCTACTTGTGGTTTTAAAGACATCTGAGTCATTTAGAACAGAGGAAAGAGCCGCAGCGAACTCCGCCGCTGTCTTCGTTGTTTATGAGAAATTGAGCACCGCCGTGAATGACGTGAGTTAAACAGGAGGAGTCTGGCAGGCCAGGCTATCTTTCTCGTACCATTAGCGCCTATTTTCTTCTCCTACCCACCATTCATTGCACTGTAAGGTCACTGAACACATGCTTCACACTAAGAAGTTCAACTCACCTGTTGACCTGTCTTCATTCCTTCTCACAAGCTTTGATCTTCTTAGGTGATCCTCCAGTCATCCGAGTAGTTAGTTAGTGTTTCCTTTCCTTTCCTTCGTACCCCGTAACACTCTCGTAACTTAAGCACTCAGTTCTTCTGGTGCGTGCCTTCAGCGTCCGCAGCACTTCCGTGTTTGGGTCTTACCAGTATAGACATATATATACAAATGGGCCATTCCCATCTGTACCGGGTCGGCCCGGGCCGGGTAGCGTAGGTTGTTTACTTATCTGGGTGGCCTGGTATTTTTCCGGGCCAACCAAGGCTCATTCTCAGCCCTCTTCTCGAGGGGGTCTGCTTCAGGCCGACCAGGGCCAACACACCCACTGCTGACAGCAAATTCACACCTTCCATTAGAGCAAGCCTCTGATTGGTGGGTAGAATCAGCCCACATGGGCTTAAGGCAAGGATGTGTGGAATCAACCGGGCCAGGCTGGGACCGACTGGGGCTACCCGGCCCGGGCCGACCCGGTACAGATGGGAATGGCCCAATAGACACTTCGTTAAGCGCTGGATCACTCTCGAGCGCGTTAAGACGCTTCTACATATGTATGTGTTTATACTCTCGTCTCTGTGGTTGTGTCTGAATCCAGTGCGGACCGAGCCGACAGTATTTGGTAATGTTGTTTTTTTTTTTACTCGATAACGGATAAGATTAAAAATGTAGCGAAATACAATACTTAAGTAAAAGTAAAATTACAGATTTTAAAAACTACTTCAAAAGTATAAATGCGCAAAAAATCTACTCAGTTACAGTAGCACACGTAATTGTAATTCGTTACTTTCCACCTCTGCTAATAACTAAACTAAGGCAACAAACCAAAAGCTCACTTAATGAGCTGAGACCTAGAGACCAGTAGGGAGGGACATAACAACGCTGACATAATGGACCGACAACCACTGAAGGACAAGACAGGGCCTTTAAACACAGAGGGAGGTGATCAGGGGAACAGGTGACAGGTGTGAGCAGTGAGAGCTGGAGGGAAGGCAGGTGCGTACAATAATCTAAATGGTGGAAATAAACAAGCAGGAGGGCAGATAAACCTATAAAACACAGATAACTAAACTTAAAGGCTGAGGGCAAATATAAACAACTAATAACTAGAGAGGGCTGAGGAGAACCTGGTAACTACATGGGAACGGAAGACCGAGCAGAGCAGGGGATAACACATAACCTATGAGACACTACATACATAAATTAAAAAGACTAAGGGCGCAGGAGAAACAAAGATAAATGACTAATGGCCTGAGTAGTGAGGGAGACTAATGAAATGAAAACCTGAACCTATAGAAAACTCCAGAGGAGAGACTAGGAGAACATGAGGGGAACCTGGAGGGGGCTGGGGACCACAGGGACAGGGGAACCTGGAGGGGGCTGGGGACCACAGGGACAGGGGAACCTGGAGGGGGCTGGGGACCACAGGGACAGGGGAACCTGGAGGGGGCTGGGGACCACAGGGACAGGGGAACCTGGAGGGGGCTGGGGACCACAAGGACAGGGGAACCTGGAGGGGGCTGGGGACCACAGGGACAGGGGAACCTGGAGGGGGCTGGGGACCACAGGGACAGGGGAACCTGGAGGGGGCTGGGGACCACAAGGACAGGGGAACCTGGAGGGGGCTGGGGACCACAGGGACAGGGGAACCTGGAGGGGGCTGGGGACCACAAGGACAGGGGAACCTGGAGGGGGCTGGGGACCACAAGGACAGGGGAACCTGGAGGGGGCTGGGGACCACAGGGACAGGGGAACCTGGAGGGGGCTGGGGACCACAAGGACAGGGGAACCTGGAGGGGGCTGGGGACCACAGGGACAGGGGAACCTGGAGGGGGCTGGGGACCACAGGGAGACAGAACAGGACATCAATAATCACATGTGAACAAGATGTTTAAATGAAATGTTTGAATAATCTGTGCTTAAAGCAATGAACTTAAAATGAATATTGTTCTTACAAAGATCCATTTCATTCACAAATCAGTACGTGTTTGATTTAACAAAATGAATCATTGTTTACACTCACACACATTACGATAAGATACTCTTTAAGGTTAATGTTCACCTCAAATAAGAGTTTTGAGCATTCTCATTCACAAAGTGTCAAAACTTTTGCATCTGAAGAAGGCGTGGCTTTCTGTTGGTAAAGACTCAAAAACCTGTCAGATCCTGATTCAGAACTCATGACATCGTGGTTTATTAAAACAAGAATTACTTTCCGATTAATTCAGTTTCCAGCTGACTCCCGATTCAGCCAAATCAGGAAAGAAGCCTCTTTTGGAACAAACTCCTCTGACCTCCTGTCAAAGCCGCGGCTGATACCAGACAACCGGCTCTCTTTAGAGCACATAAGCACCCCAGCTTCCTGCCTTCAGCTCGAGGGATCTCCGACTGGACGGGTCTTATCGGAGCGGTCTACTGGTTCCTGATATCAGACGCTCACTTCACCGGCAGTGACCATGGACACCCCGGATCGAACGAGAACCTCCACACAAAGGGTGCATAGACAGATTGCATCTGATGGCTTTTATCAATAACCAACTCTCTAGTTAAGAACCAAACAACAAACTCTTTTACGCCCGGACTTCACAGTTTCTGTCAGATACAACGAACGATTGCTGCAACATCTAGCGTCCATTACAACATTTCACCCATCACATTAAGTCACTCCACATCCATCACATCACATCTCATTACTCAAGTCTTGTCATGTATAAATTATTAGTTTAGGAAAATATTTAAATTCATTTTATAAACTATATACTTGACTTTGTCTGAGTGAATACGAAGTGTGTTTATGGTCACTAAAGAAGCAAAGAACCCTAGAATCTTCTGATTAAACATTCAAAGGTCAATCAGATTGACCTTTCATATTTATAATTAATATGTAGTGATAATGCCATTCATTAATCACGCTACACACTCATTCTGCCTCCTGTCCAACTATTTTAAAATCCTGCTGTGTGACCCCGGCCTGAGAACTCCCTTACGCGGGAGATTGAGTTTGATTCGTGTACAGGTGTTTTATGCTGCTGACATCACTACAGTGACATCATAAGATGTTTTACTTAGATGATGACACGTTTCAGAAACCGTTTTAAAGGTTCTCTTTATCTTTTGTCACTTGGACAAAAATCAGAACTGGAAATCATTTGAAGCCTTCCAGTCTGACATTAGTGGCTTGTATTTCACCTCAGAGACAACACACGTCTGTTTTATTGACCATGTTGCGTTAACAGTGATGTATCACCTTCCGTGTTCTGTGTGCACAGCCTTTGCTTCTGTTCACTCAGGCCTCTCAAGCCTCACAGCCTCTGTGTTGTCCCATGAGGATGTGTTTCTGGGACCTCTGTGGGGGGACAGCTGGCTGTCCTTCCAGCCACACGGGGGCTCTCATTAGAAACTCTGAGAAGAAGAACCACATTTTCCCCTCTAAGAAGAGCTGCTCTTAATCGCCAGTCCTGCTTCAAATGTAGACCTACAGATCTGAGGAAACTGAAAGGACATTATGTGTGGCGGATATGGTCGGACTGAGAAACACTAAAATATCTGAATAATGAGTAAAAGTCGGCTTATTTCCTGATTAAATTCCACCTGTAATCCCAGCTTGTATTCCAGCCTGCTGATCAAGAATGGAGACAACATCGATGCAGCTGTCTTGTATGACTCCTATGAGGTGGAATATCTGCCAGTTGAGGGTCTGCTCAGCACATCCAGGCATCTCTTCATCGAGCTGACTACTGACTCTGCAGGCACATCCACCGGCGCCGCCCTCAGGTACCAAGGTGAGCTCAACCACAGACTAAATGTTTAAGTCTAAATTTTAAAAGAAAATAAGCAGAGACAAAGAGCTAGTCACGCAATTTTTATGTTTTTTAATCAAATAAATAACGTCATGAAAGAGTTTATTCAAATGTTTTTTAACAGTTGACCAAACTCATGGTTAACTCTCCCACTGTCTTCATGTGTGAGCACCACCTCAGCCCTGCCACGTGGACCTCAAGGGATAAACCATCAATCCTGCTCAAGGGTCATCTTTCCTCGCGGGGTCACCCATGAAGACAGTGGGAGGGTTTAAAACAGGGAAAACACACAAAAAGGGCCCAGATGGGATCTGAGCTAGTCCAGGAACTTCCCAGAGCTAACAGTGTTCCACTAGGCAGCCCTGCCTTTCCACCGGACGCGTAAGCACCACGTAATGTCCGCTAAATGTAGTACTCAGCAATTAGCCGCCATGATAGTGGGTGGGTGTGTCTCCATCAGCTGTGCAGCGTTATGTTTTAGAGTTGTCCCGGAAGCATGCCTAGTTTATTTTTTACGCGCTACGCTTCCAGAAGCTCAGCCGTTCAGATCAAACCAGGCAAGAAGTCAATCACAAAAGCAGTGTAGAACATCCGGAAACATCTAAAGTAAAAGTCACCTGCAGAGTTCCAGCTGCTTAACTTGTAAAAAGAAGTACATCAGTACCTGTGAAACTCTGTGGCCGAGGTAAACATAACAGGAAATGAACCACAGACCTTTATGCTGTTGTTTTATCCTATCGTGTGAACTGCTGAAATCACACATAGTCCTGTGTGTGTGTGTGTGTGTGTGTGTGTGTGTGTGTGTGTGTGTGTGTGTGTGTGTGTGTGTGTGTGCGTGTGTGTGTGTGTGTGTGTGTGTGTGTGTGTGTGTGTTCTCTGTTGACTGTGTGACCTCACAGGAGCAGCAGCGTGGAATACTCAGCAGTTCTGCTGGGAAGGGAGCTAGAGAGAAAAAAGGCGTCTGGTACATTACATGATGCTTATGTGGAACGCCGGGGTTACAAAGCATGTCAGGGTGTGTTTCATAGACACGAGAGGCCATTTTAATCATTGCATATAGACCAACTTCCATATGTAATCAACAAATGTGCAGCATGCTTTCCTGCCATGCTGCCTGGCAGCTAAATGGTTATAATCCAGAAACCAGAAGAGCTGTAGAGATCCAGCTGATAGGATGATCGTTACACGGGTCATTGAAAACATATAAGAACCTCTTTTCTGAGGCACTCACACACTGGTGGTGATGAGCTACATGGTCGCCACAGCTGCTCTGGGAAACACTGATGGAAGTGAGGCTGCCACGCTGAAGTGTCTTGCCTACGGACACAAAGACTGAGACAGAGTTGATGTGATGTGAAAAACACAACTTTCAGCTTCTACCACACATAACCTTTCACACGTGTCTCCATCTGAAAACCGTCAGTGGTGAACATCTTGGTGAAATTTCACTAAGCTTCACGTATCTTTTGTTCTCACTTTTATCTCTGCACTCACCATCAGATGGGCCGCTCAGCTCTTGTCCACCAGATGTTCATTCATTCATTCTTTCTGCCCTGGGCCTTGTTTCTCTTCACACACACACACACACACACACACACACACACACACACACACACACACACACACACACACACACACACACACACACACACACACACACACACACTCTTTTATGCATCTTTTGTATTTTTGTTGTTCGGTGGTTATGATCCGTGTGCTGTCCCAGTCCATTACATGGTTTTCTCTTGTGCAGTGATCTGTTACGGCTGACTTCTTTATTGTACTTTCTGCTTCTTCTTTAGCTGCTCTTGTGTGTTTTCGACTTGTTTCTTTCTCGCACTCCTTTCTGTGTTCTATTGTCCGTGTGTTGAGTTGGCGTCCGGTTTCTCCTACGTATGTTTTATTGCAGAGTTTGCATGGGATTTCGTAGACGACTCCACATTTAAGTCCAGCTGGTATCTTGTCTTTTGGGTGCACTAGTCTGTTTCTAACTGTTGTGTATGGCTTTGTTGGTGTGTTTATGTTGTGTTTTTTCATTGTTGCTCTTATTTTTTCTGTTATGCCTTTAATGTATGGTAGGGTTATCACTGGTTCTGGTTCTTGTCTTTCTGGATTTCTGGTTCTTTTTTTGGGTTGTTCTTTGCTTTCTGTTGTTGTTTGTTGTTTTCCTTTGTTTATTGCCCATGTCGGGTATCGGCAGGTCTTTAAAGCATGTTGTATGTGTTTGTCTTCTTGTTTACGGTCTCTTTCTTCTGTTATTATGTTTGCTCGGTGATATAATGTTCTGATTACTGACATGTTGTGTATGGTGGGGTGTTCTGATGTCCATAATAGATATTGGTCTGTGTGTGTTGGTTTCCTGTATGTGTTTATGTTTAGGGTCCCGTCGGTCTGCCTGGTGATTTTCATATCCATAAATGCTATGCTGCCTTCTGTTTCTGACTCATAAGTGAACTTTATGCTGCCCGTGTCGTCAATATTATCAAGTGTTGTGTTAGTGTTTCTGTTTGACCTTTTGGTATGATTTCCAGTATGTCATCCACGTAGCATTTCCATAGTTTTATTTACCAGTTTGGGGGGGGGGGGGGGGGGGGGCGGTGGCTATGGCTTTTTGTTCCAGGTCTTCCATGAAAAACTGGCACAGGGTGGCTGATAACGGGTTACCCATGGCGAAGCCTTCCAGTTGTTTGTATATTGTGTTATTGTATGTGAAGTAAGTGGAGTTAGCTACCAGTGCTATCAGTTGTGCTATGTCATCTGCTGTGAGGTTTGTCCTTTTGTGTAAAGTCTTGTCTTGTCTGATTCTGTTAACTACTATGTCTATGGTTTTTTGGGTTGGTGTGTTTGTGAACAGAGATGTGACGTCATGTGAGATGAGTATGTCGTTGTCTTCTATTGTAATCTCCTTTAGTTCTTTTGCCAGTTCTATACTGTTTTTGCAGTGTTGGTCTGTATTTCCTAATAACGGGCTGATGATTCTGCTGATATCTCTTGCCATGTTGTATGTTGGTGTTGTTGCGACATGAATGGCCTCATTTGTGACCCAAAGGTCACACTTCCTCAGCTGGGTCAAGCTGTCCTGGCTGCATTTCTATCTGCAGATTATCAGAGGTGGAAAGAGTGCTAAAATTTCCTACTTTAGTACGAGTACCAGTACTTTGATAATTTTTACTCAAGTACAAGTAAAAGTACTTGCCTAAATTTTTACTCAAGTAAAAGTAAAAAGTACCGTAAATAAAATGTACTCAAAGTAAAAGTTACTTAGTTACATTTTTGTCAGCGTAAAGATGGTTACATCAGTGCAAAACCACAACACCAGTTCACAACACGCTCCTGTGTGCACGCACACACACGGACACACACACAGTTTGATGGAAGGGTTTCTATCCAGTCAGTGAGAACAGGACGTGCACATTGATTGGACAAGGTTTTTCTAGGATTGTACGTTTCAACTGTGATTAAAATTACTCTTTATTTTGAACAAAAAAATGTTAATTTTTAGATGCCATCAGTGTGTGAGGTATCTCAATGTTCTCATGACAAAACTCTAACATGAGACTGTGCTCTAACCTGTCACATAACAAGCTAGATGCAAGTCTGGCATGTACACACACACACACACACACACACACACACGTCATGACTACTTTAACTACACTGAACTGCTTTAGTAATACTTTAATCTCTTTTTCTGGAGTAAAATAAAGAAACAAGCTAAATCATCACATATCTGTGGCATCAAGGAGCATCTTCTGAGTTCAGACACAGGGATGGAGCACAATGTTTACACCTGAACAGTATCAGGATGTTTTAACTCACAGAGGCCTGCAGGTCTTCTGTTTTATGACCAAAGCGCTGAGAATCCGCTTGTTAGGAGCGCTAAACGTTATTTTGACGCTTCCTTGCGGAGCGGTAGGGAAACACATTTCAAACACGGAACCGAGTCCGGCTACCGACCCGAGCAGAATTCTGATGACGTCACACCGGTGCATGAAGGTGCGGGTTCCAACCCACAGGAGAGGAGGGAGAGAGGAGGTAAACAGCGAGTGGATCACAGGGACTGAACTGATGTTTTGGAGCAAAACTGCAGTAAAAATGGCCGTTTGTCCTCATTATCTAAAACGTACCCCCACCCCCACACCCCACGGTTTAGACGCTGCGCTCATGCAGGTGTCTCTTTCTGTTCCGATGCTGCTACACGCAATATTTTTAATTTATTAAGCCTATAATTTATTTTTACTCAGTAACGGATAAGATTTAAAATGTAGTGAATTACAATTCTTTTTTAATACGTACTCAAGTAAAAGTACAGATTTTAAAAACGACTTAGAAAGTATAAATATTCAAAAAAGCTACTCAATTACAGTAACGTGAGTAAATGTAATTAATTACTTTCCACCTCTGCAGATTATCCATCACAGGAGACTGAATGTCGTTCTACCACCCCTTTAATCTGACTGCTGTTCCATCCGCAAGACGAAGGACACTTCAAGATTTAAAAGAATCATTTTTAATAAACTCTTTTCACATGTTAAATCTACATGTCAAAATCTAATTCGTTAGAATAAGATTACCGGGCGTCTCTTAAAACCTAACTCCTCAGTTCAAGTTCAGTTCTTGAGCTCACCAAAATCTCTCCATGGCACGGGAGTCCAGAGGATCGAGTCGGCCGTTGGAAACCTCTACTAAAGCTTTCCTGTCACGCCGATAGAATTGCTTCCACAGAAACGCCATCTGCAGCACAAGCTGACGCTAAACTCCTTCAGAGTTATTGATTTTTGAGACGCAACCAGTTTCATCAGTCGTTGTGACCCGGAGACATCTCAGGACTGACTTGGTAGTACTACGGTTCTTCTACCCACCTCCTGCTGAGGGTCATCATCTCCTCCTGACATCTCGGATCCAAAAGGGGGTCTCCAACTGGGTGACGTAGACACTTCTGACAGATTGCATCTGAATGCCTCTTTAAAGAAATAATTTAG